AGTCCAGATGAAGGTGAGGGAGCCTTGCCATGGAGATAGCTCGAGGAAGAGTGTTGTTCCAGAGAGGAAGTGACCAGTGCAAAGGCCCTGAGGCAGGACCAGTATGAGTATGTTAGTTCTTCTACTGTCATATTAAACTCTTTCCAGTCCCCCCTCACCACCTCCTCTCTCACACAGCTCTCCCTCCAGGGAAACCATTCACACTTCTCTAAGCCCTTCCATTTTGGACAAGCCATGCCCACACCAGATACTTCTCTCCTCTTTGGCCCTTCACAACCTACCCGCCCATCAAAGCCAACCTAAAAAAGGCTTCCTCCTTGAGGAAGCTTGCCTTGATCCAGAATTGGTGGCCACCCTCCCACCCCTGCCTGAGGGCTCTGTTGGGGCAAGAACTGGGTTGCACATTGCAACCCTGAGCCCAGCACAGGCCGTGGTACCACCATGATGGCACATGTGCACTGGGTGAAGAGTGAATGACAGGCAGGCTGATGCCCAGACCACCACCCCAGGGCCTCCCCACTAAGGGAGCTTTTGTCCAGGGACAAATGAGTGCTGTGCACCATGTGAACATCAGCCCCTTCAATGCAGATATGAATCTGCAATAGGAAATAGGCTTTTTAAAAATAACAGCACATTTTTCTTCTCTCTTTATTGTTATTTTTTTCTTTCTGCACGGCTTGTTTTTCCAGCACAGCCCCTGGGCCAGTTGCCGGGAAGCCCCTTCCAGGCCCCACTCTGAGAACACAGGGCTCTGGGGCCTCCAGTGACTTGCAGGCTGCAGCTGAGGATGGCTATGCACCAGCCAGCTTCAGACCAGCCCTGGCACAAAGGCCCCCAAGTCCCGCTGAGCCAGACAGCCCTCTGTTCAAACCCCAATGGTAGGTGGTCTCACTGCACTGGAAGTGTGTGCCATCCAATGAGGGCTTTATAACCCTATGTGACACTTCCAAAGGGGCCTCACTGGTGGTCCTCTGCCCTCAAAGAGGGCATTCCTATGGAGTGGCACCAGATTGCCACCAGGCAGAGGGACTTGAAGGGGTGGGGCCTAATAGAAGGTCATTGGGTCCCTGCCCTGAAAGGAATTAATGTAGTTCTTCCGAGAGCCTCGTGAGTTCCCTAGTGGGGGTTGTTGTAGAAAAGCAAGCCTAACTCCTCTAAACACTCTGGCTTCCTGTCTTGCCATGTGATCTCTCCCTCTGACATGTTCCCACCATGATGCCCTCCACCATGATGTGACACAGCCAAGGGAACCCTCACCAGAGCTGGGGCCTTGCTATCTGGACTTTCACATTCTAAAACTGTGAGCAAAATAAACCTCTTTTCCTTATAAAGTCCCCAGCCTCGGGTATCCTGTTATGGCAATGGCAAATGGACCTACAGAGCATGTGGCATACTTAGTACCGTATCTGGCATACATAAGCCCTCAAACATTAGCTGACATCAACACCATCATCTTCTTCATCTTCATCCCCAGATCTCCTGCTTTGAGGCCCTTTCACTGACTCATATCCCAATCAGTGAGACCTCAAGGGTCGGTTAAATCTTATCCTCTGCCTCTCCAGGAATTTCCTTTCAGACCTCTCTGAAACATGGTCCCCTGGGTCATGGACACCTGTAAGGATGGGAAACTTCTCTGTCCTCTACAAGCCATTTTGCCTGACACCTCCCTCCCTCTGCCCATCTGCCCACATCTGCCTCCACCTGCCCATAGCTCATGCACCGTGTCCTCAATCCCACATGGTGAGCAACCCCTACCCTGTCAATCTTGGGGACCTGGTAGAAGGTGCTGATGGCCCAGCTCTCGGGTTCAGGACATTGGAATTACAGCAGCACACTGAAGCCAACTGATGGAGGTCTTACAGAGAGAGGCTACAACCAAACAATGACACCAGTAAATGGAAAACTGCTATAGAGATGTGTGTACAAAGGAGAGGCTGTAATCAGGGAGGGCTTCCCTGACGAGGAGATGTGCAGCTGAAACATGAAGGGTGAGGAGGCTTTAGCAGGAGAGGAAGGGAATGGAATGCAAGCGGTGGAGGGAACAGCATGTGGAAAGCACTATGGTAGGCAGAACATGGCAAGGGACCCAACATAGTGTCCCCATAGGAACTAGAGGGCAGTGGAAGGATGTCTGTCTCCTAAAAGCAGGGAACCCCTGAAGGTTTTAAAGAAAGGAGTTGACAGGCTCAGATTTGATGTCAAAAAGGCCTCACTAGCTACTTCCCAAGTCATGATCCTCCTTTGTGTGCACTAGCTGCATGTGTACTGCTTGTCTCTCTCCTGGAAGGTCAGCTGTCCCTGCAGCAGTCAGGACAGGCTGAGTGTTGCTGTAATAACAAGCAACCCTGAATCTCATTCACACTGCATGTCCATCCTAGGCCATCAAGGAACTCTGCTCATGGAGTGACACAAGGACCCAGGCTGGCAGAATCAGCTGCCACCCCCTATTCTCAGGTGCCACACCACCAGAAACTAGCACCCCCGTGGTCTTGTACGGACAGTTAAATGCTTTGCCCCAGAAGCAACATAGACACTTACGGCTGTGATCACCACTCAATAGCCAGTCACATGGCCACACCCAAGCATAAGGGGACCTCTATCCAACACTGTCGTGAACCTGAAGAACCAGAAATCTTTGGAGGAAAGTGTTAAGGACCACCAGACGCTCTCCCACCCCATCCTGCCCTCAGCTAACCTCATAGAGGGCAGCTAGGCCAGGATTCCAGAGGGAGGGGCCAGCCGGGCAGAGAGGTCTGGATGAGGGCAGAAAACCAGGCCAAGGAAAGGGAGGGGCCACATTACTCACAGGCTTTTAGGTCAAGGTAACAATTTGGTTCTTTCTGAAACACACTGGGAAGACTTGGGGTGGCTTTAGGCAGTGACCCTGGTGTGACCAGAGCCCTGGCTGCCATGCTGGGCCCTGGTAGAGGGGGATGAGAGCTGCACATGGTATTAGCAGGTGCCTGCTGTTGTTCTGCGGAGAGGCCATGGGCTTGACCAAGACACCAAAGAAGAACAGTTAGGGAGCAGGTGTGGATTGGGATGAAGGAGGCAGAGACACCAGGTTTCTGCCTTGAGGACCAATGAGACCTGGGCTTTTGAACAAGGTCAGAGCCCTGGAGTAGCTTGAGGAGGAAGATTATGGGCACCCTGGGATCTCGTGTGACTGTCATGACTCAGGCACTGAGGCAGCTGAATAAGCAGAACTGGCCCCTGACTGCTTGTGGTGCGTTTTGCCGCCTTCACACCTGCTAATAGGGAAACCCACCAAGTTTCCAAGGAAAGAGCCAGATGACAGAAACCTCCACCCGAAGAAGTGTGTGATCACATGACCTAAGGGGCATCTTGTATAAGCAGAGGTAACAGTTGGCCAAAGGCTCCTGCGAAAAGCAACTCAAGCCCCTCATCTTTGAGACTGTCAATAGGGAACGGAAGCAGACCCAGCCACCAGCTGCTCCTTGGGGGCCCTGTCAAATTAGGGACTGGGTGGTGCCTGTCAGGCAATTCTGTTACTCCGGATAGTACACTATGCGGCACCCAGGGTCAGAGAACCTCATCCCAGACCCAGGGCACAGCAATTGATCTCTGCTCTAGCTAATCTCCCAGCTGCCTCCAGACGGCCTGTGTTGGCCCCACTTAGAGGAGAAACAGGTTCAGGGAGGTCAAAAGTAACCATGCAAAGTCCCAAGTCACACCATGTGAGGAAGAGGAGGAATTCCAAGAGAGAAGCCCTTTCTGTGAAACTAAATAAAGCAAGGGGCCTGGGCTGTGTTCCCAGGAGGGAAGGTTTGTAGACACGTGCCCCCTTTCAGACCACGCTCAACTTCCCCAGGGAAGGAGACCTCAGCTCGGTAGTTCTGGACCCCACGCCCTCAACCAGGGCCCTGGGAAAGTCCCCACCCTCCTTCGTCTGGAAGCGACTTGTGGGCAAAGGCGAGCTTGGGTGCCACAGGCATCAAGCTCCATGGAAAATTCTTTTGCTTTAGCACAGACAAATCCCCAAAGTTTATAGGGTTTCCAGGCATCAGAGCAATCTCGCTGTACTGCCTCCCATCCCCATGCACAAAGAACAGGGCGTGCTTCCTTCCAGCCTCTCTAAATTACACACCGCAGCCTTTCTCCACATGAAGCGAACATCTAAGAAAAGGACAGAGCTAACATTTTTCCTCCCCTAAGCCCCAGCCTATCCTGAGGGTCTGAGGCCCCTCTCCCAACCCGGCTCAAGACACCAGCAACTTTTCACCCGCATCGCCGAAGACATCTACATTCTCCTTGCTGTGACTTGCCTAGGGCACGCTGGCCTTGACGGAGGAAGGTCATTGGCCACCAAGTTTCTGCAGTTTCTGCATCAGAGAATACCTTGGGGACTGCGAGTGTGGGGGGGGTGATTTCCCGAGAGTCTACACCGCAACTAAGACTTAAAATAGATTCAAGAAACGCCCCCCGGTCGGCCACGTTTAGCTGGAAACCAAGGACCGCGGTATAGGAGGGGACCCCAGCGCAGGTCGCCCCCCCTCCTCAAAGCCCCCCACGTCGGCCCCCAGCGCACGGGCGACACCGCCTCCACATCTAGGCCAGCGGCCGCGGCGAGCCCTCCCGCACTACACTCGGCCCCGCCCCGCCCATGTCACGGCGTTCTAATTCCGACGGCTCGGGCCGCTCCCATTGGTCGGCGGCTACGTCCATCAGCGGGCGGAACGAACGCCGAGAGAAAAGGCTACATTGTAACAAGGCGAGCGAGCGAGCGAGCGGGGAGGAAGGAGGCGGAGGGCGGTCCGAGTCCCGCGGCGGCGGCAGCTACCTGCCGAGGGTTAACCCACCTCGGGGCCGACCGGTTGCCCCTCCGCCCGGCCCGCGCCCCCGGTCCCCGGTCCCCCGCGCCACCTGCGCCCCGCCACCGCCGCGTCCCTGCACCCCGCGGCTCCCGCACTCGCTGGCAAACTGCCGAGCGCTTTCCGAAGCCATTTTCAATGGCCACAGTGGCTACCGGGCTGACTCACCTTCCCGGGAACGCTGCGGCAGCCGCGGGGCCCGGGCGGCGCGGGCGGCCCGGAGGGCGGCTCGGCGGAGGCGGCCCGGCGGGCGGCCCCCGCTGCGGGAGCGGCCGCGCTGCGGGCGCGCGGTCCCCGGCGAGGCAAAGTTTCAGCGCCAGCCTCGGCGCGGCGGCGGCGGCGACTCGCTGCTGCTCTCCTCCCCTGCTTTGACCACCATCTTATTAGTACAGGAAATGACATGGAAAACGGAAGAAAGCGGCGTTTGGGGCAGACGCGGACCCCCCAATTCAGGGGCCGGAGCCGGGACTCACCAGCCGCGTCCCAGCCCGGCCCCGGAGAGAAGTCTCGGGGCCCCGCGGCCCCCGCCCCGCGCCCTGCGCACAGGGGGGACCCGGCTCCTCGAACCCAAAAGGACAGGGCGAGGTTTATAATCCAGCCCGCGGAGAGACCGAGAAAAAAATAAATGAAAAAAGAAAAGGTTCAAAGAACTTTCCAACTGGGCTACTTTTGGGGGGTCGGAATTAAAAGTTGTAGAATTTTAAGGAGTCATTCCGAGGGGAGCTCCCTGGCCCTCCCGGTCCGGTTGCGGTCCATTTGGAACCAAATAGGGGGAAGAAATGGGTTTATATTTTTAACCCTTTCGGGGCTCCGAAGCCGGTCTCTTCCAGGTCCCCCTTAACTCTTTGCATGCCCAGTAGTTTGAATGTACAAACTAAGGCATCCCGCCGAAGGCAGAGGGTAAGGGGTTGGGGGCGCGTTTAAATATTAACTATTTACGTCGGGATATGGTTTTTAAATCGCTAACCGCACGTGTTCTTCCGATCAAAATAGTTACAGAGATTGAGGTTCGGAAAACTGGACCGGCTGGTTCCTGGCTGGCTTGGACAAGATGTTTAAATCGCGTTCACTTGCTCGGCACCTCAGTTTCTCCATCTGTGAAATGGGATTCACCCTGATAAAGAGACGGAATGTCTCAAGGGAAAGATAGGGTAACTTTTCTAAGGACAAAGTGTCTAAAAGTACAGCCGCTTCCCTGGCTGTGATGAGCTGTGATGAGGCCGGTAGCCTTGAAGGAGGCTGGGCACCGGGGGATGGCAGAACCAGGCCAACCATTCCCCAAACACCCCTTTGCCCCAGCGTGGGCTGCAGGGCGCTGGCCGATTGCCAGGGCTGTCCTTCCAGAGGAGGCCGTGCTGCGCTGGATGCCTGACTCTAAGGAGCCCTAAGCCGGGGTTGGAGGGGCCAGAAGGGGTTCCGCCCCAGGAAGGCGCCTGGGCGGGGCCTGCCCAGTGAGGAGGCCCTTCCCCCAAAGTCCACGGATGCCCTGCTGGAACTGGCCCAGGCAGTCGCCAGAAGGCACCACACCAGGGGGCCTCCTTCCAAGGGAAAGGAGTTCCCTGTCTACCTGGCTGCATCCACAGCAACCTGCACTGTGTGCCAGTGGCTCCTGGAGTCTGGAGGTGGGGCTGCGGGAGGAGAGAGCTTTATGTCCCACACTGTTCCCCCACACCACGAACACTTTTGGAGTCCCGTGGCTGTTACTTGCTGTCTGATCTTCATCTGTTTCCTCATGCGGAAAGTAAGGCACTAGGCCCAGGAATGCCCACGTTTGCTGGCCCGTTGTGAGGAACCGCACTGTATGTTTAGAGGGCCTGGAATGTAGCTGCCACTGTGAATGCTAAAGAAGCAGGAGAGTACTGTCATTATTTGACAATAAATAGAACTGCTGGTTTCCTGAGTGTGTCTGCTCAGTGCCAGGCAGAGTATTGGGCTCCCTAAGAAAGACCAGGATCTGTGACTTCAAGGAGGGTTCATCTGGCCAGGCGTCTGGGGCCTTCCTTGGTAGCTACCTCTTGGGACAGGAGAAGGGGTGGCTTGAGTCCACCAAGGAAGGACATCAGAGGTAGGCCTGGAATTTCCAGCAGGGGTCTGGAGGCATTTCCAGGAAGCACACGGCAGAGCAAAGACCTCAGGTGTCAGAGTGCCCAGGGGTTTGACACATGTAGTGATTGGCCAGAGAGTGGGTAGAACAGAGAAACCAGGCTGAGGTCATAAAAGACAGGATGAAGAAAAGGTGTGACCACATTCCTGTGATTCTCAAAAGGGTCTTTTGAGAATGAGCTGGTAAGAGGTGGGCAAGGCAGAGCAGGAGCCCTCCTTGCTGGCTGGCTCCATCCATCTGCCATCTGTTCTCCCCTTTGGCAGGACCAGTTAGCCTTAGGTAAACAGTGGAGTAGGCTTTGTCCTCAGAGCTGTCTTGTGATGGGAAGTAGGTAGTTCTTCCTCACTGGGTGTCCCAGGAGTTTGGACAAGGGGTCTGCCCTCTAGGAGCTGTCCTGTAGCCAGGGTCAAGAGCAAGACCCAGACTGAGAGGGCTGCTAGGGCCATCTCAGAAGGGAAGCTAGGTTGCTGGAGGTTGACAGGTGCATGGGGCTACAGTGGCTAGAAAGTGGCGTCAGGTGGCCACCACAGACACATGCTCCAGACAAGGGAAGTCTTGTGAGCCTTGCCTCAGTTTCTCTCTGTGGCCTAAGTTGGGCCTGAAACCCAGGAGTGGGGGCAGGTGGGAGCCACTGGACTGCCCTAAGAATTGGGGGAGGGGAAGCTGGGGTTGGCGACAGGGAAGGAAACTGAAGTGACTAGAGCCAGTGACACACACCATCGGCAGTACTACCATTTGACCTCTCAGTGATCCAAGACAGGTCTCCACCATCACCATTTTTATAGACGGAGAACTCACACTCAGAGAGGTTAAGACTTGCCCAAGGTTGCAAAGCTGTTTGAGGCAGGGTAAGATTGACACCCAGGTCTACCTGACCCATGGCTCATTTCTGGCTTATTGTCCTTTTCCATAAGTAGCTTTTCAACCTCACAGTTGGTGAGGTATTTCCCAGACCTTTGCCATTTGGAGCTGATCACTTCATGGCCTCCCCTGGCAAAAATGGCACCAGTGATCCAGCCTCTCCAGATTCCTGCGAATGCTGCTTGCTCTGTCTGTGGAGGACAGTCTGAAGCCTTGCCTCAACCACTAGTAATAATGATACCAAAGCAACGCCAGCTTCCAGTGAGCAGCAAGTTGGATGCCCATGGAGCCTAGAAGGAAGGGTCCCTGGAGATGTATTTCCATACTTGCTGTAAGACAAGGAGGACCTTGTTCAGTTCATCAATTAATGATCTCTCCTGAAGCCTCAAGGAAGAAATTTCCTTCAGGATTTATTGCCTGGAAAAAACTGAAACTGACTCAAGCAGCATCTCCCCCGAGGAACCAGCAAGCATGTCTTCCTTGCTTAAAACAGGAGCTCTGTAACTCATCAGGCTTCCCTTTTTGCATATGCTGCCAGGAAGCTCCTAGCCAAATTCCATCCTTATTTCCAGCAACTTTGGCAATTGTTTCCCATTGGTTCCTGCTTTCTCACTTCTAACCCTACTGGCTCAGCCTTGTTTTCTCTGCCTGATATTAAGGATGCACCCCCTTTTAAATGGCAAGAAATAAATCCTTCAAATAAATTCACATTTGGAAAAGCTGCTGAGGGGGCCTGGATTCCATGGGCCATGTGTTAAGCCAGGCACAATTCTGCTCTGGTCTTGTCACTTGCCCAACAGCTGAGGGATTCCTCTCTTGGAAGGAAGGAAAGACTGGCTTAAGACCAAGGGATTGCTCACCCAGCTGCTGCTGACAAGGGCTGAGATCAAAATGCCCCAGGGTCGGATCAGAACTATTTTCTGCTCTACTGACGAGCACTTCACCTCACTCCTGCCAGCTCTGCAGGAGCACAGACCACTATCTCCTACCCTTCTCCCCCTTCATCCCCCCTGTGCAGGCATGGAAGGAACTGCCCTGCTTCTCTGCAGAAATCATTGCACTCACTGCAATATGTGCAGGGCAAGGCAGGGCAACAGGGTGCCCACCTGGGAGACTGGGACAGGAGAGAGAGGGCACTTCAGATCCTGAGGACAGGGACAGCCTCTCTGAACATGTAGCATTTCAGTGTGGGTCATGCTAGATGGAAAAAGCCAGCCTGACTGAGAGTTGAGTGAAGAGTCCTCAGCAGGGGATGTAGACAGTGCAAAGGTACTGGGGTAGAGTGAAGTAGCACCTGCAGAGGACCAGTGCACCCAGTGTGGAAAGGAAGCAGGGAAGAGGATGGAGAAAGCAGCAGGGGATCCGGGCCAGACTTCTCCAGTTGGCTGTATCTGAAGTTTTAGAAGCCACACATAAATGGCAGACATTAACCCGTGCCAGAAGGTGGGCATGTCAATGAGCCTTCTTTTTTTCATGATCTTGCTTTCTCCATGAGATGGACGCAGACTTGTCTCTTTTTTTCTGGCTTCCTGGCATCTGGCTCTTGGTCCACCCTCTGAGGCTTGGGGAGAAGCAGGTGTGGCTTCCCCTGGCCACTAGAGGAACCAAAACCCCAAACGTTCTCTTTCCCAGCCTCCCTGCAGGTGAGGCGCTGGTGCAGAATGGAGGCTCAGTCATTGTGGGAGTCTGTGGTGCTCTGAAGCATGGACCAGAGCCAGTCCTTTCTGCAAGTGTGTAGGATTGCAGTCAGCTCTTGAGGGCAGTGGTGTCATGGCTGGAACCCACAGAGCAGGGGCGGGAAGGGGGAATTGGGGGAGACCGCTGGTCAGTGCAGAAAGTAGTGCCTCACACACGCGTGGGTTCTTTGGCCCTATGTGCGCCTCACCCTGATCTCCAGTCTTTCGGTCACCCCCACCCCCCGGCTGCCTGAAGACCTCTGCTCAATTCCGCATGTTAGTTATCTCCTCCTGAGTACCAAGTCCCTCCAAACGTAGCAGCCCAAGACAAGGCATCCACGAGCTCACCATTTGGGAGGGTCAAAGACAGGACCTGGCTCTTCCAGGTAGGACATTATGCTTAGCAAGCGCAGTCCCACCCCAGGTGAATGCTCTTGGATCTAGGGGTCGTGCAGCTGCAATGGTGGGCACTGGTGTGAAAGAACAGAGCGCTGAGGCCAGGAGCCGAGAGGTGGGTGCCATCCTGATCCGTCATTTGACCCCAGGCAGCTGGTTCTCTCTCTCTCTCATTTCTTTCTTTTCTTTTTCCCCTTCCTTCCTTTCCTTCTCTTCTTTGCAGTAGTGGGATCAAACCCAGGGCTTTAAGCATGCTAGGCATGCACTCTACCCTTGAGC